TTCAAGCGCTTTGAAAGACAACTGACCGGATGCCGGCTGTAAACCCCAAGCGAATGTATTCACAGTTTAATGGATTTCCATCTACGAGGTGTACAGTGCAGTACATACATTTTGTACAGCAACACCACGGATTATACAAACTGTAGCACAGAAACTTTAATCGTTAAAAAACCCTCTGTAGTAATCATGCACAGTAAATCATTTGAGTAATGACAAACATGACAAATGACAAATGGGCTTAAACTCAAGAAATTCACACCCATATCCATTGATCCAAAATGAACCAGTGGCGGCCATCTTCGTCCTTAGTCGAAAACATCATGTAGCAGTGGAAACCCAATAGTACAAGACAAACTGGTTGGTTTGAGAATCTATGTTTCCACTGATTGAAGGCTTTACAGAATTATGACCCCGTTGTCTGGTCACCATGGGAAGGGATCGGGCCAAGGGCAGACCCTACTCGTGGCAGTCGTGTTGGCCAGGTGGCCGCACTGGGAAGATCACTTAATGCTTGCATCAATGGGGAAAATTTTCGGATCCGAGAAAATGCGGTCGTGATGGCCAGGTGGTTTAGTTGAAGAGGTGGTCGCCTTGGCAGGTTTGACTGTACTCAGATTTTATATGATGGATGACTCCAAACCCGAAAAATCCCCATTAGTTAAACAAGCTGATCAACTACGGTTCACTACATTATCCAGTAATAAATTGTATAATATGCCACTGCTTTGCTATTGACAAGTTGTTTATAAGCACTACTACAAATGTATTTTGAACAAATAAGATGCTTCCAAGGATTAGTAGTAATTGTTTTTTGAGAAGAAAGCAGGCTGTAACATATCTTAATTAAGAAAACTCAATTCAAAGTGTTTTCAAATCTTCCTGCATGTTTTTCCTGGTGCTCCTGAATGTTCCTGGTCCAGAGCAAGTACACACTTGTCCTTAGGAGCACAATTGACAGGTACAACTAACAGATTGGCCAAGACAGTTTGTAAATTTTAATTTATGATTACTAAAGGTGTTATTTCGGGACATTAACTTACGTAATTTTGTAATTACTTAATGTAATTTTGAGGGTTTTCAACATAGTTATGCTGACGGCATACATGTACCGGTATGTGTAGCAGCAAAATGGGAAGATGCCTTTTTGTTCCTACAGATTTTGTCACAAATGGGAAAGTTTTGTCTCTTGGAATATGGTGGAATTTATCTCAAACGTTTTATTTAAATGTTTTGGGTGTGGAGACATTTGAGGGTGTGGGTACAAGCGGATTGATCTGTGTGGCCTAGGTGTCAAAAGGTCACGTGGGTCAGTTTAATGTCATTATAGGGATCTCGACAATAAAATCATGCTATTGGCCAGGAATTGTAGAAAGGAGAGTCTACAAGAATTTATGACAGTCTACTATCATGAAAATGTATGTACAAATGGCACCCAGGCTACATCCTGGCTTGTGCTAAAAAATTGTTTTGCCAGAAAATGTATGATGTGAATTTTGAGCTTTATTGGGAATCATCATTTCAACTGAACAATGGTACTAAAAGTTCATTATGTCATGATCTATTCTTACAATGTTAGCAAACTTTAATTTTCTTTAATTCTTAAAAGTTCTTTCTGTTTTGGTACATTAGGTTGCTCTTTTCTAGTTCTAGTTCTATGTAATACTGGGCAAAGCCCTATCTAGGGCATCCCGCCCAGGGTGCACGGCTATTGCGGCCGATGGGGTGCGGTGAAAAAAGTGTGCATGAAAACAAACAAACCAACATAAATTTGTGCATTTTGTGACTGGCCGCAATTAGCAATCCCGACTTACATCTGTGAGACGGGTTGGCCCAAGTGCAGGGCCAACCCCGTCTTAAATGTGTCGACAGATAGTTGTGTCACTTAGTGCCGGTAGTGCGTTCCATTCTATGATAGGTCTTGGGAAGTAACTGGATCTGAAAATGTTTGTTTTGCAACTGAGAGTTGTGTATCTGAGGGGGTGGCCCCTTTGTAGTGTTAGTGTTCTTTGTGATGTGATGTTGTGTCGGTATGGAGACTAGACTGTGTACTGCTTTGAAAAATAGGACTAAACGTGCTTGTTGTCTTCTTTGTTGGAGTGTAGGCCATCCGAGCATGTGTTGAAGGTGTGTAACACTGGTGGTGGTCCTATAGTCATTAAACACAAACCTGGCTGCCCGCTTCTGAATAGCCTCTAGCTTATCTTTTAACACGCTAGATTTGGCATCTTGCCGTCTCTGGGGATCCCAGATTACAGAGGCATATTCTAACCTACATGTAGGTCTGACTTGATTTTAACTCCATGGTTGCTCTCATATTTTCAGTAAATTCAGTTTGAATTCAACAATAATCAGTGAAGTACAGATTACTTTTCCTGTTCAACCCCAAGCCAAGCATTTGATCCAAACTACTTCAGCTCCCTAGCCTGGGGTGCCCATCCTCTGCAGTTTCCGCAGGCTCTCTACCAGAAGCCAGCATCACTAGAGAACTGCCTATGGAGGATGACACTACTACATGTACATGTACATATACATG